TCTATATCACTATGATTGACAATCAATCCTTTATTACATGGCCAAGGAAAATAGTCGGACTCCCCCTTTTTTTTAATGTGGCCAGTTATCCATTTCTCTCACATTCTAGTAATCTTTGCGAGCTTACTTTTGAAGGGTTGTACTCTTGTCGCCCTTGAATAGATTCTATCAAAGTGTATCATTTCGAAATGAAATAGGGAGGTGTACTCTTCCAGAGCGGGAGTCATGTATTCCTTGTTGAAAGTGAAATAACTATATGTTGAATTCCAAAACTGGATTAAGGCCTTGATCAATGGCTCTTTTACCTTCACGTACAACAAGAGAGCTATGTCATCATACTTTTTCCAGAATGCATGCTTCGTATTAGGCCTCCAACTCTCCTAGATTTCACGTAGCCCTTGCAGATCATTTTGCTTAAGACTGAATGGAGAAACCACTGACAGCACTGATATGTAGTCCTCAGTCAAACTATCTCCCTTCTTTCTCTGGGTTTCTTCAAACCATGACCTCACTTCTACATTCTTTATGTTCTTGTTATGAAAAATCTTGTCCATTTTATGACCGCCTACTACTCTGATGACCACTTCTTGAACCAACACCTTTCTTAATGATATGATCATGCAATGCAACAATGCACAAACAAAAAAAAAGAATTATGTAAGTATATAAAATGAGTAATTGAATAACAAGAAAATATATCGTAAATCTTACCCACATGTAATCTACCCAACATGATATGGTGAATCCTATCCAGGCATGATATTTACCCTCATGCATTTATTTGGAAAATAAAATCTAATTACATTTTTTTAGTTCACATGCTTCGTACGGAAATTTAAAACCTATCTGCATACTCTTATAGTTCTCATGCTTTTTGTAAAATAAATAAATAAATCTGAGGAAAAGTTAGAGTGAGTTTCCCCTTTGTGACTTTTGAAGAACCACAGACATAATTTTAGAACAAACGAGTAGAGTTTCAGTACTACTAAAAGGGACCTCAAATTGTCCTTTGCTAGTACCCCCTTGGGCCTGCCAGACCCTCAATCTTCACCTATTATAAACTTAAACGGATCAAGTTCAATTCGAGATGATGCATTTACCCATATCCATGCGAAGAAACTCAATGTTTCGCTCGTAAACACAAGGAACATGCACCCCAGAGGTTACTTGCTAAATCCCACGAGGAGAAATTTTTTTTTTCTCACATAAGCATAGCGTTCAGACCTACCTAACGGGACATAGCACAGTTAGAAGGCTCTAAATATTCAAATGGTTATAGTGCATGTGGGGGAAACTCACAATCCTTTGCCTTTATCCAAAAACAAACAAACTTAAAAAGGTCAGAAATTTGAAATAATAGAAAACACACATTATTACAACTAATAAATAATAGTAAAAAGGATGTATGACATGATGCGATGCAAACAAAATATAAGGATCAAAATTTAAATATCATTCAAATTTACCATTTTCAACTAAAAAGATGACGTATAATCGACTACGTCCTAACTCTCTAATGTCCCTAGCGTAATCTCTAAGCTGTCGAAATTGGCCATAAGCTTTTTGGGGCTATGGCGGGGAGCGATCCAACTTAATTTTAGAAAATATTGAGTTTTAAAATAAATGCGCAAATGAATAAATTTGGAGTCGCCATCGACCTTTGAATTAGGTAGGTCGAATACCTAAAAATATCCTTTAAAACAATTTAAAAAAAACAATTTTAAAATATAAAAAGTGATTTGCATTTAACCAGAAACTCATTTTGAAAAGAGTTCGAGAGTCGATTACGCATGGGGAAGGATGAGCACCCCCACAGCGCCCAATATCGACACCTAAACGATTATACGTCATCTAAATATTGAAACATGCAAATTCGAATATACATTTAAATTATGATCCTATTATAAAAAAATTTGAAAAGGGAATTAATTCGTACGCACAATCCTCAAAAACACATTCTTTATCAGTTAAGGCGTATTTTTATGGATTCTCCATACAAAATAAAATTGGTTTAATTTTTTTTGTGAAATCTACATATTTAATGTATTCGAAAAGTATCGAAAATAAAATGGTTGCAATTTTGCATGATCAATCCTTGGAAACACTCTCTTTGTCGGTCAAAGCGCATTTCCATAGATTATCCATATAAAACAATATCTTCTTCATTTTTATGCAAAATACATATATTTAATGTATTTAAAAAAACTCGCTCGAAAGTGTACAAACAATTTTCGGAAACACCCTCCTCATTAGTTAAGGCGTATTTCTATAAATTCTTCGCACAAAGCAATACTATATAAGAAAACTATATATTTACGATTGAACTAACAAATGCTTAAGGTCACATACATACAAAAATCATTGATAAAAATCTAATATATAAATGTTTAAAATAAAACATATAAACAGATACACGGCAAGATGCGTTGCATTTTGACCTCAAAATATAATACATTGTAAATAAAAAAAATGAACAAATAAGTAAAAAAAGAAATGGTGCGCATATACATAAAAACATGAAATAGGAATAGAGGCATAAATAGCTATTTACTCATGCAATAGAGCAAAGGACTAAAATGAAATGGAATCTAAATTAGCAGGCATATATGGGTATTTAACCTAAAGCTAATAGTAAACATTAACGTGACTAAAATGTAAGCTTTGTAAATAGCGTATCCAAAATCAAACATCAACAAAATAGGCTATTAAATAATATGATGACTAAAATACAAACGCGATATAAATAAATGCTCTAAATAAAAGAATGCAAAATTCCATTTGGTGACTAAAATAAACTATAACAAACTAAGAGTGATTGGGAAAGGAATTAATCAAGGTGCTACTCTAAAACCCCAAAACGACGCCGTATGGAGCCTGATATATAAGGCCAAAAATAGGCCTAAAATGGCATTGTTTTTCATTTTATCTCATTTTCACTCTTTTCCCAAAATGGGAAAACTTTCTTTCCTCCGCCCTCTCTCCTCTCCACTCCTCGTCGGGGAGAGGCTGAAAGCTTTCGGCCACCGCTCTCCAGAGCGCTCTGCCTCCGCTCACAACGGCTAGAGTTCAAAAATTTAACCTAACCCTCTCTCTCCTCTGAACCCGAAACCACTCACCATTTTCCCTAAATCATTTTCCCTCGTCCTAGATCTAGGAGTTTACCTTCGAAAACAACACCCTCCGACGACTGTTGGACTCTCCGAAAAGATGAAAGGATTGTAAGCCTCCTCTCTCCTTCGTCTTTCTCTTTCTTTTTCTCTTTTTTTGGCTGTTGTTCTCTCTCTCTCTTCGTTTTTGAAAAGTCCTCCTCCTCTTTGCCTGATATATTTTTCTTTATATGCCGAGAGTCTTTCTCTCTTTTGATTTTTCATTGCATGTAACAGGAAATGATCTTTGATGGATTTTTTTTTGTCTTCTTTCTATTTTCGGTTTCGAGAACTCTGAACGAGGAGCGAACAACGCCGAAGGACACACGAAAATGTGGCAGTGACGTGGGCAGAAGGACGAGATAAAATATTTTACCCCGAGGCTTGTTTGTCTGCTTTTGTGGTGATCGGCGGATTTCTCGGCGACGACGACAGTGTCAGATTGGCATGGAGAATAGGCAATGAGCATCGGGGATCGTTAGATCAGATTGAATCCAACGGTGGCATTGTGAGCGGCGCAAGTGGTTGATTACTAGGTTTAGGAAACCCTAATATAGGGTTAATCTAGACTGTTGGATCAACTCTGATCCAACGACTGAGAAGCGACTGCTGTATATCCAAATGGATGAAAAACCCTAGCTCTCTTCTGGGCCAAATCTAGATTCGGGCTTCCTGTTTTTAGGCATATAACAGGAAAAAAATTAGTGCTTTATATATATATTTATTCAATTTAATTACTTATTATATATATATTTATACATATATAATAACTACGTACACCCCTAATAACATATATAAATAACTAATTATATATATATATATATATAACCCGAACGAAATTTGAACGAACCCCCGGACAAAATCAGCATCTACAACTTTAAGATATTATATTTTTTTCAGATAGGAAGCATTCACATTACTTTGAGAATATGACCCTTAAAAACGTATGAAAAAAAAACTAAAACTTTCATCAACACTAACATTCTATTCCTAATAAAACAGGAAAAACAATAAGGCAAGGCAAAGATGCTAAAGAGAAAAAGAAATGGAACATCAGCTTCAGCAACATAGAAAAAGAGGTAAAGATGAAGCTGTTATCAGCCTAATTAATTGGTCATGACTCAGTAGTATAAAGGATGTTAGGTTTGTTTCATTTCCAGACAATTATTAGAAAGCAAAATCAAAATCTTACACAGGATGTTAGGTTTGTTTCGCTGTTAAACTTATAATTAACCTTAGAAAAAGCAAAGAATCAAATCTCATACTTTTTCTTTGTCACTCTTTATCTGATAAAAGAGGATAAATTCTGAATCATGGGCACACGTCAAAAACAGAAGTAAGTAAGGAAGCAAAGCACAGGCGTGGCCTATTAACTTGTTTTTCGTGTCATTTGCATTGATGGTCAAGATTGTTTAAAGCTTCCGGTACTGTATTTTCCCTACATGGGGCATTATATATAATATAATCTACTCGTTTAACTGTTGACATGCTTAATAAGCTGAAAACTGAGTAAAGCTAGCTGTTCATGTTGTAAATTATCATCAAATTTATTTCATGATAAGGTTCACTGTATTCTCACTGTGTTTAGCCAACAGCGAGGGCTGTTGTTTTTTCTTGATAGGATTTGATTAAAATCAGTTCAGTAGGTTAAACATTGAAATGAGGTCCCAGGCAAAATGAAATAAAGTGAGAAGAGGTGGAGGGACAGTTAAAGTGAAGGCTTCTTGTTAACATTCCCGGAATTTAATTGGAAATGAAGCAAAGAAGTTGATTCAGTTGAGCTTTATTCCTTTTGCAATGACTATAAATAGGCTTGTTTGAAGGGAACTAAACACAAGGCATTTTGTTTTCTGTTGAAGAACCAAAAACCTCTGAGTTTTCTGTAATATATCCAATGGATCAGCAGAAGAAGACCACCCCTGTGTCTCTGCAGGCACCACTGACTGGTCCCATGAGCAATCCCACGGCTGCTGCTCAGACACTCCTCCATAACCCTGGTGCTGCTCAAGCACTCTTTAATAATCCTGGTGCTGCTTCTCAGGCACTCCTTGGCAACCGCGGTGCTACTCAGCAGCCATTCCTGAATAACCCTGGTGGTGTGGTCAGCAACTCATGGGCGTTCCTAGTGTTGGCCAGCAACACATGGGCAATCACGGTGTTGGTCAGCAACACGTGGGCTATCCTGGTGTTCGTCAGCAACACGTGGGCGTTCCTGGAGCTGGTCATGTATCTATCAACAAACCGGGTACAGCTCTTGCACTCACGATGAGTCCTAGTGATTCTCGTGCACTTATCCGGGGTGACCGTGGGAGCATGCTAAGCATGTCGGATGACAATGTGATGATGAATCAAATTTTGGCAACTCATGCCCCTGATGGTCGAGAATTTGATGTCAGACCTCTTCTGTATCTGGTTGAGGACATCCTCAATCGTGCCACCCAGCATGTTGATTTCCTTGTTAAGGTATAACATTAACATGTATTGCATATATACTTTTAAATCAATGGTGTAAAAAGCTCATACTTCCTGATGTTTACTGCAGGGTACTCTATCTCAAGCTGAATTGGAAGAGAGGGCCCAACAAGCAAATCATATAGCTATGCTTGAAGCTCTTACATTTACTATCGATCGTATAGCATGCGAGGTTCTGCAATTTTATTATAAGAAATCTTTCTCTGTTAATTAGTACAATCTAGACATGTTTGTTATTCATATATGGTAACATGTTGGATATTATAACCATTTCTAAATGCCAGCTAGCATACAAGGCTTTGGGAGGTTCAGATGTACACGCAACAACAACTGCAATATTCAACTTGCTGTCAAGCTATGCATGGGATGCTAAGCTAGTCCTATCCTTATCTGCCTTTGCCTTGAACTATGGAGAATTCTGGCTTCTTGCTCAGATTTACTCCACAAACCAACTCGCAAAGTCAATGGCACTCTTGAAGCAACTGCCAACTCTGCTGGAGCACACAGCTCCTCTGAAACCAAGGTTTGATGCTCTCAACAATTTGATTCGTACAATGATGGACGTGACTAGAAGTGTTGTTCAGTTCAAAGACCTGCCATCAACGTACATATCTCCAGACGTACCAGCATTGGTCACCGCCTTGACCCTTATCCCAACTGCTGTATACTGGACCATCAGGAGCATGGTGGCTTGTGCAACTCAAATTTCCAGCCTCACTAGCATGGGTCATGAGTATGTTTTACTTCATTTTATGTAGGATGTTGCGAGTTCGGAAGGTAAAATGTAGTTGGATTATATCGATTTCAGGTTTGGAATATCAACTACAGAGTCTTGGGAGCTGTCCACCTTGGCTCACAAACTCAGAAACATACATGAACATCTAACTAAGCATTTGAACTTTTGCTACCAATATATAGGTTGAGAACTACCCCTATTAAATATTTTCAAGCATCAGAGAAAATTAAAAATATATACGGATGATTTGATGATTGTTAATTGCAGACGAAAGGAGAGATGTTGAGACTTATCAGATGCTCCTGAATCTGTTCGACCCAAACGTGTTGCACATTGACAACATGAGAGTTCTCAAGGCCTTGATTTATGCCAAGGATGATAAGCTGCCTCTTCTTGATGGCTCTACAAAGAGAGAAGTATTGCTTTCTTACCCAATTATAACTGTTTGTTAATCTTTATTAGCTTGTATTTATTGTAGGATATATCTTTGATATTTTTGGTTTGTGACATTGCCCAGGTTAGCCTGGACGTGCTAAGAAGGAAAAGTGTGCTCTTGCTTATTTCAAGCCTCGAATTCGCCAATGATGAGCTTGCAATTCTTGAGCAAATCTATAATGACTCAAGGATCCACGCAACGAGGCTTGAGAGTCAGTATGAAGTCGTTTGGATCCCAGTTGTGGACCGTTCCATCATCCCTTTGCCCGAAGAAACTAAAACAAAATTTGAGAACCTACTAAGCATCATGCCATGGTACTCGGTGAAGGACCCTTTGCTCATAGAGAAGCCAGTCATCAGGTTCATCAAGGAGTTTTGGCATTTCAGGACCAAGCCAATCCTTGTGGTGCTTGACCCTCAAGGGAAGGTGGTTTCCCCTAATGCAATCCACATGATGTGGATTTGGGGCAGCACTGCCTTCCCTTTCACTAGCATGAGAGAAGAAGCACTTTGGAGGGAGGAGACATGGAGGCTTGATCTACTTGTTGATGGAATCGACCCATTGATCCTCAACTGGGTATATTTTTTAGATTAAAACTTCACCAGAGTTTTATTACATAAATGTTTACTTTTGTTACAAGTTCAAGCATCTAATGACAGATATTACATAAATGTTTACTTTTGTTACAAGTTCATGCATCTAATGAGAGATTTTGAACTTGAATTTGCTCAGATAAAAGAAGGTAAATACATTTTCTTTTATGGAGGGGACAATATCGACTGGGTGAAAAGATTTACAGCTCAAGCACGCAGTGTTGCCTCTGCATCTCTCATTCCTCTAGAGATGGTCTATGTGGGGAAAAGCAACAAAAGGGAGCAAGTGAAGAAGGTGACGGGAGTTATCAATGCGGAGAAGCTCAGCTATGCTTGGCAAGATCAAGCCATGGTATGGTTCTTCTGGACCAGGCTAGAGAGCATGTTATTTTCGAAGATTCAGTTAGGAAGGGCTGATGACCAAGACCCAATGATGCAACAAATCAAGAAGCTGCTTAGCTATGACAGGGATGGTGGATGGGCAGTGCTTAGTCAAGGATCTAATATAGTGGTGAATGGTCATTCATCCACAATTTTGCCAACTTTGGGAGGTTATGATGAATGGAAGGTGAATGTGCCTGAAAAAGGTTTTGATATGTCATTCAAGGAGTACCATGACAAGCTTCATGATGTTGCTCACCCATGCTGCCGGTTCGAGTTCCCCACTACCATAAGAATCCCCGAGAGCATGAGGTGCCCGGAGTGCCTTCGCATCATGGAGAAATACAACACTTTCCTCTGCTGCCATGATGAGAAAGGCATTCCAGGCTCACTATTCTAACCTGGGATCAGGCCTCCACTGTTTTCCCTACTACTATTGCCACTGAATAAAGTTCCTACGGAACTCGATATAAAAGAATTTCTTCTAAAATTTCGCTTAGTATCTTAAGGTTTTGTGTTTGAAATGTATTGCCAACGGTCACTATGTGGTCCAAGTTGGGCAACCTATATAACAGTTAAAAATAAAAGAACCCTGTTTGATTTCCATGTTACTGTCAAAGATATGATATTATAAACAGAACTTTATTTAAGCATGAAGTGAGCCAACTGAAATAGTTATTGTAACATACAAGATTCACAATTCCAGGTTCCAAGAGTCTTGATTGCTCGGTAGAATATCTTCTGAGGTTCATATTCTCGTACTCATGTTCGGATATGTATCGAACATTGCTACTTAGAGAAATATGAAAAGAAGCAACAAGAGAATGCTGTCTACATGTATAAAACTACAATTGATTGTTGTGACTTTCTGTGTGTATATATTTGTTCTTTCCCGAATTTCTTCTTTCCTTTGGCCCACTGTTGTTAATTAAGGGGGCAGCATGTCCTATGATTGACCAATTTAAATCACTCCAATACCAAGTTGCTTACTGCCAGTCAGGACCACATTTCCTTCTGCTTCCATTAAATTATTGAGCTCTCTTATCTTCTGGCACATATAAGTCTTAGATAATCAATAATGATTTCGTTTTGGAAAACTAGTATTATAGTGTCTGAAACTAGAATCATACCGAGGTCGGGAACCATTGAATTATATTGGTTGAATTTGAACTCAAAATCGAACTTGATCCGTGATTACGTTCTCTATTTCAAACTTATCTGCAAGTTGCATGTGGTCATCATCCCATTCCAAGAACAGGAAGATGGAGTTAAAGATGAATTGAGACCTTGGTGTCCCACTTCTTCTGTTTTCATTTTTCTCAATATTATGGACACAACAATAACGACGTTTTACCAAATATATCCCCTTTAAAAATTATTTTTCCACTCTAACACTCATTGAAGATTATTTTTTAATCTAGCATTTTTTTTGCGACTTACCTTCTGCCTATGTGGCAGCAAGACGGACACATATTGGACTGGAATGAAAAAAAAAAAAGAAATTTGAGGTTAAAAATATGGAAAAATCATACAAATTTTGTCCAAAAAAACAAACACACGTGGTGCGTGTCGAAGACACGTAATTGCACGAGTACGAACAATATAGGATTTGAGAAGCTCATAGGATTTGAGAAGCTCACATTGTTTAAATATGTGAGTTTTCAAGTGTTTAAATATAAACTTTTAAACATACATTTATTGAATGATTAAACACAAATCTAATATATGCATGTCATCATTGTTTAAGTTGGCTCATGCTCTTACTTGTATAATATGTATCCTCAACACGCTCTGCATGTTTATTTTGGGGACAAAATTCATTTTTTGTCATATTTTTAGTTTCTCTTTTTTCTCTTTCATTTCATCTTAATTCGACTGAAATCAACAAAATGTGTTTATTGTGGAACGTGTTTTTGTCACATCAACAAAAAATACATATTGCATAACACTCTTTTATGACATCAGCAAAAACACATCCTGTAAAAAACATCTTTGTCTATATGATAGAAACAAGTGTCAATTCGAGAATTAATCGTATACGGGTGCTAAAATGAAAAAAAATAATTAATAGGTGATATTTGAATAAAATGACACATAATGACATAAACACCCTTTATTCTTTTCGTCAGTCTCATCTCTCATTTTCCTTGTGGTTATATAGAGTAGTTGTTACTACCCAACAAAATTAGGGTTTTCCTTTTTGATGACCTTTGGTTCCAAGCTTAGTCCTCAAAATTTGGGTCCCTAAGGTTAATGGTTGACATAATTGCAGCTGTTTTTGGAGGGGAAATGATTACATGCAACAATCTTAATATACGACTAAAAAAATGTGATATCGGTTTTGTTATTATTTAAATAATAAAACCGGTAAAAAATTACCGGAAACTTTATTATTTCTACCGGTTTTGTTATTATTGGGCGCTTTACCGGTTTTGTTATTGTTGGACACTTTACCGAAAATATTAAAAAACATTAATGTTTTAGGTAAAAATAATAATATTTTAGGTAATTTTTTTACCGATTTTATTATTTAAATAATAACAAAACCGATAACGTCTTTTTTAATTGTATGTTAAGGATGTCGTATTGTAGAACTTTCGTTGTTTGGAGGTAGGGGCTCTCACACTGCACTGGCCCTGCTTGCAGCATTTCTACACCATATATCCAAAACCATTATAAATATCGTAATCATATAATTATAATATCAAATGGCATTTTTATCATCATATAATAACCGTTATTCTGATAACGGATTACTATTTAAATCAATGATTATTTCTCTTCGTACTGTATTGGAATCTCAAATCAATTGAAAAGATTTCTTACCTGGATCATTATTAACATGAAATCAAATCAAGTAAAATAATAAATCATTGATTGCTTTATTACTTGGTAACTAAGCCAAAGTTGTGGATCCATTTGAGGCTTTCACGTGCTAGCCATTTAGTGCTAGTTTCAACACACGTAGGGATCGAAGCAATGCAAAGAAAGACGTGCATGCACTTTTTTGATGGATAAAACTTGTTGTTGCAAATCCACCCTCAAGTAACTAAATTAGTTCAACTGATAAGTAATTTGATATAGTTCAAATATGTTTTGAGTTTGAATCATTGTACATACAAAAAAAATCGTTGAGAAACCCACCTACTACTAAATATGCGATCCGGATTGGTCCAAATAAATTAAGATGAAACTTTAAGAACGGGAGGGCAACAAAAAAAACCCACTTTCACCATGTAAATTACTGCTCCAAATTTTAATCCAACATGTGAAGTTGTAGGAATAAAAGGACAATCTTGTGACAAATCCTTTTGGTTCAAAGGTTTTTTTCCTTGTTTAAAAGTGTTTGTATTTACATGATTCATACGAACAAATATATATATATGTCAACATACTGGGATTTCTTTCATTTGGGTGTCACCAGCTACTGATATAACCAATTCTCCAAAATTGAGAACTATGAGTATTAGGAGTTTCCCATATAAAATGAAATGGTATTCCATGTAAGGATGATTATTTAATCGAGTTTAGTTAAAAATATCAAGTTAATCGAGTTGACGAGTCTTATTGTATAATTCAATTTTTATTTGAATTTTTTAGTCGAGTTTATGAAATTGAATTCAATTCAATTTGAGTTGAGTCGAGTTATTCGAGTTTCTATTTAATTTAATTGTAAATTTGTACTGTTATGTTACCATTTGATTCTAATTTAAACGGTTTTCTATAATTATATACGATATACATATATATTTATTCATATTTTTCAAATGCAATTTACCTATATCATGTAGAGTTGAGAGGCTTAACTTAAACTTTAAAATTAATCCACTAATTATTAAAAAAATTGAATTATTCATGTTCTATTTTATAACTTACATTCAATTAAACTTTTTTTTTGAGTTAAGCCAAATTTATAAAATTACGAATTGAATTAAAAAATTATAACTTTTTTTTAAAATTGAGTTGAGTCGAATTTTATTTTCTCTAATTCAATGATATTTCAGTATAATGCTAACACAAAGAATGCTGCCAGGAAAGAAAGTTTTCTAATTTAAATAAATGTAACCTTATTTATACAAGAAATTGTTTTTTAGAGGTTTTGAATTTTAATAATTGCATTTGTAATGTGTATTTGTTCATTATCAATTAACTAATAAAATTTTAAAAAAAATGCTAATTTGGAATTACTCCATATTAATTAAAATATTTTAAGATGTACAACAAAGAAATTAAAAGATAAATAATTTCTTGGTTTCCCGACATCTTAATTCCTCATTATTCATTAAACAACACTTTTATCTCTTTTTTTTTCTTTTCTTTTTAAATAGAGATAGCTTTAACTAAGTGAGAGAAAAATAATAATAATTCATATGCATAATAGGTTCGCTATATTTTTTGAGTTAATTGCATCAGATGTCCCTAAATTATAACCCTTATTTTAAATTGATCCTTAAACTTTTGAATATTTCATTTTCCATCCCTAAACTATGACTCTCGTTCTAAATTAGTCCTTAAACTTTTTATATTTTAATTTCATCCCTAAAATATGAAACTCTTTCTAAATTGGTCTCCAACTTTTGAATATTCTAATTCCATCCCCAAATTCATTCAAATATGTAATTAATTTCAACCATAATGTAACCTGAATTTTTTCAAACATAATATAACTTGGTCTAACGATTTTATTAATGAGGGATGTGATTAGAATATACATATAGTTTGGGATGAAATTAGAATGTTCAAAAAGTTTGGGACCAATTTAGAATGAATTTCATAGGTTAGGGATGAAATTGAAATGTTCAAAAGTTTAAAGACTAATTTAAAATGATAGTCATTGTTTAGGAATACATTAATATATTTAAAATTTTAGAGACTAATTTAGAATGATAGTCATAGTTTAAGAATAAAATTAATATTTTAAAATTTTAGAGACTAATTTAAAAAGAGTCATACTTTGAGTACATCTGGTACGATTAACTCTTTTTGGGTATATTTTTATCAGCTATATGAATATAAATAAGTAAATATATTAAAATTCTATAATAAAGTCGTTTGGTCAAATACATTAAAATTAATTTTATATAAATTTTAAAATAATTTATTATCATATAAAGATTAATATAAATTAAAGATGAATAAAAATTAAGTATACACGTTTTAAATATTTCGTTATGACATAAATAATAACTAATCAGACATTATTAATATGTTTATATATAAATCTTTTGTCGCTTCATCTATAGTTGTGCTGATTATTTTCTAAATAAAATTTTTATTTATTTTTTACTTATTCATATAACTGTGTTAATTGTGAGTGTAATAAATATATAATTATTATAAATTTATTTTGATTTATTGATTAAATATACTTTAATTTACATTATTATTAATATTATATAAAAATATAATATCAAATATGTTTTATAGTTCAATATAATATTATATTGTGAAACCTTAGCTTCTCTCTTCTCCTCTTCCATTTTTTCGTCTAGAGTTTGTATCATTTTTTATATATCGAATCAATTTTTTATTTTATTTAACTAGTAACAATACGATACTAATTACCGACCACTGGTCCTTTTCTCTTTTTATTTCTTTTTGAGT